TCTCAGTTGCTGCACTGGTCCTCGAAGAGCTGTGAAACGACGAAGTGCTTGAATGAATGAATCCGTAGTCAAGCTGTTGAGTGTTTCAATGTGTACTGCTCTCGAGGCCATACAGGTGAAGAGCAGACCATATCTCTTCATTTCCTTTCTACCTTCCTTGATCGTCCAAGGTCCAAAGCAGTCCATCCCACAATATGTGAAGGGTGACGTCTCGGTAACTCTGTCAGAAGGTAGATCCGACATTTTTTGGATTTGAGTTGGGCTACGTAGTTTGTGGCACATGACACATTTCCTTATGAGTTTGGATACTCGATTACTGCCTCCAAGAACCCAGAATCCATTCTCTCTGACTTGATTGAGTGTCATGCCTCTCCCCTGATGTGCTGTTAGTTCATGACAATGACGAATTATCAGTTCCGTGATATGGAGACTTTGCGGAAGAATTGCTGGGTGTTTCCTTTCATAAGAGTCGTCACCTCTTCGAATCCGTCCTCCTACTCTCAGGATGTCATTGTCATCTAAGAAGGCATCAAGACCATGTAGATGACTAGCTTTCTTGATTTGACGCCTCTTCTTTCTTTCAGTTAGACTCTGGTTTTTCTTGATAGATTTCAGGATCTGAATTTCATCTTCAAAAGCTTCCTTCTGAACGTGCTTTAGAATTTCAATCTCTGCTAGATGAAGATCCTGCACAGTAACACCCCTTCTGGTTGTTGGGTAGTCACTTGCTTTCCCATCACGCCTGTCTTTACAGCTTTGTTTCAAACGTGAAATGAAGAGCAGACAATTTGCGACTGCTTTCCTTGCAGCAATCCAGCTAGAGAAACGTTGCAGTCTACTCAGGTCAAACACATCTGCACTGGATTGGGAGACATGTACCTGGGATTTCTTCATCTCTGGATCATCAGGAAGTAAGTCGAATGTCTCTCCATCCTCATCTATGGAAAAATTCTTTTCCCACAGCATTTCTGGTCCATGTAACCACTTTGAATCCTTCAGCTGATGCACCGTTAGACCTCTGGATGCTTCGTCAGCAGGATTGTTCTTTGATTCAATGTACTTCCAATCTGATGGACTGGAATGGTCACGGATCTGTTGAATCCTATTGGCTACAAATACATGAAAGCGCCTGTCAGTGTTCTTTATGTAGCCAAGCACAACTTTGCTGTCTGTCCAGAACACATGTTCTGCGTCATTACGTTTAAGCTCTGCTTTCAGGAACTTCTTGACCTTCACAGCAACAGCAGCGGCAGTCAATTCCAGGCGAGGTACTGTTACAGACTTCAAGGGTGCCACTCTGCTCTTTCCAATCACTAGTGTGCAATGCACTCTATCAGCGGCGTCAGTTAATCTCATGTAAGTACATTGACCATACCCTGTTGTACTTGCATCTGCGAAGTGATGAAACTGTACCGACTTCACGGCCTTGAATTCAGCAGGCTTGTAACATCTAGGGATAGAGAGTGATTGAAGTTCCAGTATGTCTATTCTCCATTTCTCCCATCTTTCTCGCAGAACATCTGGAAGCGGATCGTCCCAGTCTGCTGTCAGCTTACACAATGTCTGGAGAATCTGCTTCCCTGTAAGCACAACTGGTGCCAACAGTCCTAAGGGGTCATAAATAGACATGACTGTGGAAAGTATGCCTCGCCTGGTTAGGGGCTTGTCCTGAAGTGTGATTCTGAAGTTGAATGCATCGGATTCGACACACCATTGTACGCCAAGAGCTCGTTCTAGAGGTAAATCATCATGGAGAAGGTTAATCTCTCTGACATTCTTCGCCCTGTCTTCCTCTGGAACAGTCTTCAGTACCTCTCTTGAATTGGAGACAAATTTATGCAGATGAAGACCTCCCTTCTCACATAACTGCTTGGTTCTGGATATCAGATCCACAGCCTGTTGTACTGTAGGCAATGACTTCAGTCCGTCATCCACATAAAATTCTTGGTGAATGAAGTCTCTTACATCCTCACCAAAGTCTGCAGCAAAGTCAGAAGCTACTTGTCGGAGACCGAAGTTAGCACATCCCGGTGAGGAGGCTGCCCCGAACAGATGTACTTTCATCCGGAATTCACTGGGCTGTTGGTTGAAGTTACCGTCTGTCCACCAGAGAAATCTCAAATAATCCCTGTCGTCCAGATTGACTTTAAACTGGTGGAACATTTCTTTAATGTCACACATGAATGCAACCCGCTCCAGCCTGAAACGACAGAGAACTCCGACCAACTTGTTAGTCAAGTCTGGTCCTGTTAGCAGATGATCATTCAGGGACTCCCCTCTGCACTTCGCACTGCAGTCAAAAACCACCCTCAGTTTGTTTGGCTGAAGAACTCCATGATGGGGAATGTACCACGTTTGACCATTGGGGGTATGGTCTGGCGCTGACTCAGCATATCCCTTCTCAAGGAGGGTGTTCATTACCTTTGTGTAATTTCTATGGTATTCTTCGTTCTGTTTGAGTTTTCTCCCTAGGTGATCAAGTCTTCGTTTTGCATGGAAGTTGTTGCTAGGCAACGCTGGTCTCTTTCCTTTGAAGGGCAAAGGCATTTCATAGTGTCCTTCCGCTGACTTATGAATTTCTTTTCTCATAATATTCATAAATCTAACATCATTTTGCGAAAATGGTGCTCCTTCATCCTTTCTATCAAGGAAATCAGCTTCCATCAATCTCGTCACTCTTGCAGGGGTGATCTCCTCCTTTACTGATGTTTTATGAGCGAACAACACATCCTTGTTTACTGTCCTTAGCTCAGCAGGAATCTCACAGGCTGTCAATCGATGACTTACACCGACGGGATCATCCTCATAAGCATACTTGTGTTCATCTTCCTTCACAGTACCCACGATGCTCCATCCAAGGTCCGTCCTAAGACCATACGGACCATTATCATCAGCAGGAGGGATGACATCTCTTGGTATGAGTGCCCTTGCACAGTCATATCCAATCAATAAACCAACTTCACAACTTTGCTGGGGCATGAGATGATGTGAAATCTTGGATAAGTGAGGGATTCTCATTGCCATCTCTGGAGTGGGTATGTGATCATGGTTTGCTGGTATAAACCGTCTGGTGTAGGTTGTCGGGAGAGCGAACCGTTGTTCTCCATCAAATGATCGGATGGTCAGACCCTCTATGCGTTCACTTGGTACTCTTTCATCCATAGCAGACATCGTTGAAAGAAGGAGACTGACAGGAACTCCCTGCAGATTCATCTCATCCTTGGTTTTCTCTAACATGAAAGTGGTATCAGATTGGGTGTCTAATAATGCATACACCATTCGCTCGTCTGATATGGTTGGATGAGATAACCAAACAGGAACTATCATAGTGCTCTTCATGGTGGTCAATCTACTACTAGTACCGGTAGGTTGCTGACTAAATGAAGCATGAGACCATGACGTCTGAGTTTCCATGGGTCTGTCTTCTACATTTGTCTCCGTCTTTGGTTCTGGTTTCTTCCTATCTTCATGTAGACAAGATGGATGTCGCCCTTGACAAATACTACAGGTACTTCTCCATCTACAATGCTTGGACATGTGGCCTGCCTTCAAGCATCCATAGCATAGACCTTTCTCTCTTATGTACCTTTTACGATCTGTCATGTCCTTTGATGCAAATTCACTGCATTCTTCTAGGAGGTGATCCTTCCTACACAGGTAGCAGGAGCGTTGAATATTTCTCCTCTCCCTCTGTCTCTTGTTGTCTGAATTGGAAGATCTGACATTGGTGTTGAGAGTTCTAACATCTGGTACAGGCTTGCCTTGATCAGATCTCCTATCCTTCATGTGGTGTAGAGATGTGATTGGATAACATGCTATCTTAGCCTCTTCATCTATGAACCTCACAAATTCTTGAAAGGGAGGAAACTGTCCTTTCATCTCTGTCCATCCAATGACCTTACGTGACCATCTCACCACAAGCCAGTCTGGCAATTTCGCTAAGAGCTTCTGATTCTCCCTCTCATCGTTTAGGTGGTGTAGATTTCCAATCCTATCCATTGCAGTGACACATTGGTGAAGAAAATCAGCTAGCTTTCTTAGACCAAGTGCATCTTTCGAAGAAATCTTAGGCCATCTGTCTAGCTTGTCTCTGAAAGCATTTGCTATAATGAAAGAATCTCCATACCTCTGCTTAAGAGCTACCAGTGCTTCTAGATAAGCTCTCTCATCTCCAATGAGTGCATATCCTCTCACAAGTTCCAAGGGCTGGCCTTTGAGGTACTTCTGCAAGTAGAAGAAACGATCCATAGGCTGTATTCCACTTTGTTCAATGAGAACATCAAATGCATGCTTCCATGCTGGGTAAGTCAATGGATCTCCTGCAAAGATTGCTGGTTCTGGTAAAGGAAGCCTCGTCATCCTCATCTGTTCAACCAGAAATCTCATCGTCTCAGCTTGAACGTTCTGCACACTGTCTAACTTGGGTTGACTAACTTGACTTACTGCTTCAACTTCTTCCTGGATGTCGTTTACCTGAATGTCGTTCACCCAATCCTGGCAATCCTGTAGCTCCTGCGGTTCAACAGGAAGAGACTTCTTCGACTTCTTAGATGAAGTTCGAGATGAGGGTCTAAGGGCGATCAATACATCAAGAGTCTGTTTCATGATGTTGTTGTGTGCTGTTTCAACCTCATCTAGCTTGTCATCACTGTTGTCTTCAACTTTCGCAGTTGCTCTAAGTGCAGCCAACTCTTCTTGGGTGTTTATCAGTTTGTCTACAGTACTTTGTAGAGCATCTCTAGTCTCCTGTACTGTCGACGCTTCGCTTTCATCACCAAGTAAAACTCGCAACTTGTTTGCGGTTCTATTCCAGGACTTAATGCAGCTGTCAAACTCTTTGGATTTAATTTCCACTTGCCATTGTAGTCCTTTCTCTGTGGGCTTGGGTTCACGATGGGGTCTATTTTCACCTTCAGTGTCAGCCATGATGTAATAGCTCTCTTTCAGTTGTCGTGGAGACGTCTAGACGTAAATGAAGTTTTTACTGTAGCGGAAGCATCTTTGACTTTGTTTATTGGTCTTTCTTTATTATTCCAATTCTCTTGTTGCTCCAAATGCTCCGTAAAAACTGCACAAATGAAAATAGATCGAACGGATCATAAATCAACTGTTCATAAATATACATATTATGCTTAGAGAAAACCTGGTGACTCGTATCAATAATATGCACCTTACAGCTAATTAACCCCTTGTTTGAACCTTTTCCTTATTTCACACATTAACTTGTACTGCATATAAACTAAATACAATTCTACCAGTACATGTATGCTTAATTGAACTAAGTCAGGCTTTCTGACATACATCCTTTGTATCACTTCTGTTCATAATTACAGCATGTATCTTTATAACTAAGCCATCTATTAATTATCAATATAAACTTGTATAAATCATATAACAACTTTCTCATATTATGCACCCTAAGTACTCATCTTAGTACATTGACTCAAACTAGGCAAATCTTTGTTTACATTCTTGCATACGTGTACCTTTCATTCGCATGCCGTAGTGTACATTACATAACAATAACATTCGGTATGTGAGCCGACCGTCTCGGCTACTGTGCAATGTAAGTTACATCCATGTAATGTACACAACGAATTAGGTGCGAATGAAAGGTACTTTATCATGGAATATCGCATCATTACTGCATTTATATACAACATTCATCACATATCATCATTACATACCTTCATTCTGCCTTCTTAAGTGCATCTAACTTCCATCTTACACAAGGATGCCTCCAATATCAATAGATTTCATCCACTGGAAACCAAAAAGGGTGCCATTTCTTAACACGAATTTAGTAGCCTCCAGATGGCGCTAAACATAAATATAATCAATCTACTTGATCGACTTAATAAAATGAATTCACATCGATCACTGAAACACCGACCGAACAGCGTTATAATAATGTTAGGCCTGTATCCAAAGTGCATCATAGACATCACAAATGAGTCCATATGTAGATAGATAATACCGTATATAAACGCAGGAGGATTTATAATATTGTAAAGAAACGCAGGAAAAGAGAATTAGCAGCAGCAATTTATTAAGTGCCTAATGTGTGCATCGTAAGCAGAAAATTATGTACAAATCATTCTCCTTGTATACCAGTATATAAGATACAGCATACATTTGCTACATTTTACTTGTATACGAATCCAGTTAATACCCTGTTCACATTGAATAAAGGAAATATGATGCTGTTAAAAATATATATAGATATCATAATTTTATTATACAAATGTTGAGAAAAATATGATAGTTCATGTGATAGATAGGAACTAGGATAAGGTCTTCCTTCATGCTGTAGGATGAAATATACATTTATAGCACTGGACTTTAATATGTTAACAAATGCATTCAGTGGTGTGATAATCATTTGGTACATGCACTCCAAAATAAAAGATAGTGTCAGTACAAGGTAATTATTTTTAAAGCTTTTCATTGCAAATGGGAGCCATATATCTATATTGAATATAGAGTATACACGTATGTTCTTATTAAATTAAAGTAAAAGAAAATCGACATCATCTATGCATGGCAGCATGAATACATTTACCCATGGGAAAACATATCTATTTCATAAAAAAAACTTATATACATACCATTTGTTGTACATGTTTACTCATCCTAATTACCCAGGCACAGATTCTAAGAGAACGGTTTATTCATCATATTTTATTTTTGTTAAAGGTAAAGACCAGTTATGGTCATGCGATTGCATTGTGAAAGAAACGTTGTGGAATCGATCAGAAAAGGTTGATCATCTAGCATCTAGCATCTGCAAGGTTCTGGAATCATCAAAATGATAAGAAATTTGGCCCATTCTTCGTAAAGTTACAAGCACTATACACAGAAAGATGTATATGGCACTACCCTATATCCAGAAGCGGATCTAGAGGGGGGGTTGGGGGGGTTGCAACCCCCCCCCCCCCCCAAAAAAAAAAAAAAAAAAAAAAAAAATCCGGGGACCATTTTTTTAAATCTTATCTTTTTTTTTAAACTTGTAATTTTATTTTATTCTATTTCTATGTATTTATTTCATTTATTATTATTATTATTATTATTATTATTATTATTATTATTATTATTATTATTATTATTATTATTTCTTTTTTGGGGGAGGGGGGGGGGGGTTGGGCGAACAAATGTCACAGAGTCCCTTGCCCCCCCCCCCCCCATCAGCTTTTTTGAGGACACGGGCCACCGCCGAAGTGACAAGCTAGGCCAGCGTTGCCGATTCTCATCCCCAAAATCCCCACATTAAAAAAAAAAAAAATTGGGGGATTGTTGAAGTCTTTGGGGATGAAAAATAAATATTTGGGAATGAAAATAATATTGAGTTTTATGAAAAACGAATTTGGGGATTTTCTGTCAAAATTTGGCAACTTTGGGGATATTTTAAGTGTCGTTTGGGTGGGGATTTTGTGAAGATTTAACCTGGCAACGCACGCTGAGCTGGGCTGCTCATTTCCTGGATTACTTGTTCAAGTTGCTCACTTTTTTATCAGTCTGGTCTGAGTGTAGTGACAAGCAATATGGAAGCAAACAGGGCAAAGAAGTTGCGGCAATCCAGTCTCGCATCTTTTTTTACTGGAAGGTATGTTTGAATCATGCAAAAAAGTTGGCATACAGGGTAAATTACCATACATGGGGGTGTAATACGGACGTGTTCATGCACTGCTTTTTATGGTCTCCATTGTGTTAATAGATGCCATGAAAACATCACTTACGGGGTTCAAATAAACACCCCAAAAAAAAATCGGCTCGCCGCTTCGCGGCTCGTGGACGATGCTCCGCACCGTCATTATTGGTCAACCCCCCCCCTTAGCAAAAAGCTAGATCCGCCCCTGATATCTCTCACAGACCATGAGAGAAACAAATTTACCAAATATATGAATTAGTAGGCGGTTTCCCGGCAAATTTGTTATCATCATGTATTAGTCAAAACATATTCTTTCACATGATTGGTAAAAAGAGCTTCCATTTCATTTTTTGAAATTGGGGCATTTCCAATACTGGTCTTTACCTTTAACAAACTTAAGAAACTATATCATTTTTCTGCGCCGTTAGACAGGATTCGGTGGAAGTTTGATTACAACATGCTATCATCCTTACAATGATCAAATATTATTCTACCTAATTACTATGCAATACGAGACATTATTGTGGTACGTGCATGCAGGCATTTCCTTTCATTTGTTGTTTATAATGTATGTATTTTGGTCTGTTTTCTTTAGATATGTCTTTTTTACGAAAAGCTTGTGCTTTAAAAACATGAAACTTACATTAACAGTTATATATCTATTCCAATCGCGAATGATGCAGCTTTGTGTTACGCCTGTTGTTTATAATGTAGGTGTTTTAACCTCCTTTCTGGATATACTTTTTTTTTCTTCGAAAGGGCTCTCCTTTAAAAGCATGATTCAACTTGTATTTACATCTCACATTAGCAATTGTATCCTTAATTAGGCAGCATTCTATCATGTGTAAGATTTCATTTTCAGTATTACATATATTTTTCAATTTGTATACGTATTTACACATCCGTATTGCCGTTGCACAGATTATAAGGAAACACTATAATTAGATTTTGTTCGTTAACAAATTTAAGGAAACAAATGCCATTTTTCGCCCTTACTCAGGATGCACTGTAAGTTTTGTTAAAACATGCAACATCCTTACAATAATAAAATATAATTCTACCTCACTGTACAATAAAATATATTATAATAGTTCATATACACATATTCCTTTTAGTTGAAGGCTATGGTGTGAATAGTTTTATTTGCTTTTGTAGATATATCCTGTATGAAAGGGTAGTCCTTTGAAAAACATTATATGTGCTATCTCATATTGACATTCGTATCCTTGATACTATTTCATCCGTGAATGGTGCAGGTTTTAATAAGGTAAAAGGTCTATTTTTCAATACAACTGATATATTTCAGTATACATATTCGCACATCCCCTTCGCCCTTCCACCTAATATCATTTTAGGATTATTTTTCTTAGCTAAATTTACAAAGCCAGTATATTTATCACCGGTAGACAGGATGCGATGTATGTGTTTATATTAGGGCATGCAATCATCCTTACTATGATAAAAACAATTCAACCTCAATGTGTTATACAAGTTATAGGCATCATAATCGTGTAATACAAGTTCATGCAAGCAGAGATATTTTTCTTTGTATGGTAAAATAAGTATCAATGGAAAAGTAGCACCAATCACCAGAATTGAACATATCTGTATAAATTTTGATTTATATTCATTCGTATAGACATCACTTCTTCTTTTCCTAGCACAGATTAAATAAAAAAAACATACATGCGATATTTATATAAACAATTTTATACTAACCAAAGTTTAATCGCCTCTAAGCCCCTCGTTAACGTTTTCTTTGTTGTCAAAATAATATTTATATATATTGTTATTTGTTTTCTATATATTTATTTAAGAAAGGGCCGTCATCATAATCTTTTTAATAAAGGGCAGGTTTATACAGTGTACATTCCACATTTCAATCGCCAAAAACATGGTTGCTAAATATTTGGTCCTTGCTGGTTTTCTTTCAAAGACATTTGTAAAAATAAAAAAAGAAGATAATATGGTCAATACGTTATTTTTTTTTAAATCGTATTCATTTATCTTTATTAACCAAAGAGCAACATATAGTGTGTTTGCATGTGGGTGGATATGCATTTGAACGGATGAAAAATAATTATTCCAACAAAAGTACCACAAAAATCAAAACCATTACCCCTCTCTATTTCCCTATGACATTCTATGTAGAGCTGTAAATATCATTTTCTATCATTGCAGTGTTATCTCCATCATTGGTCCGTCGTGATTTATCTGGCATGGCGTACATGGCTTCTACATCATCACGCTTTCCGGCGCTATTTTGGGTCACGTGGTCATGTGGGCTTTTGTCTGGTAGCGCGTACAAGCCCTCCCCATTTGTCGATGCCTCCATACCGATCGGCTCCAAGCGGTTTTTCGTGGAAGTAGCGTACAGCGCGTCGAGGCTATCCTCCCCCAGCGCTGCTTTACTGTTGCTCGAGTACACCGTCTTAGTTCTTCTGTCTGGCATAGCGTACATCAATGACGGATCATCTGTGTCATTTGGTGGCGAGGTGTACGTCTTAGGTCGAGATGAGTTTTTAGCTGACATGTCAGGCATGGCATAGAGGGCTGCAGGGTCGTGTGTTGCTTCTTTCATGGTAGATCTCTTCTCGGAGTTCATGTATGTTATTTCTTTATTGTCCTTCGCCTCGGGGAGGTAAACGTACTCGCGTGTATCAACCACGGTCATGTTCTCATAGTCGCGTCCCATCTCTGCACTCTCGTTCTCATAACAAACCTCTTCCTCGTCGGTAGGTCTACTATGCGCTTTATTGTCGTCCTTAGTAGGAATCATTGTTGTTAATGGATGGTCAGTAGCATGTGATCGCTTCTCTGTATTTCTATTAGAAGAGGAACGAAAATAGGGGAAATACATGTCATAAATACATGAAGGCAGATACAGGGGCACATGGGACAGGTGGTTCCCCCCCCCCCCCCTCCCCTCCCCACAAAATACAAACAACAACAAAAAACAAAGATCTGGGGGGGGGTTGATGATTTTTATATTAAAATATAGGGCACAAGGGTGCTGAAAAATACATTACACCGATAAATGAATGCATTTTGTTATTTAAGATAAATTGTAAGACATATCAATTCAGGAAGAATTCAGGAAGGATTTTGTAGTCCGGTGGTCATGTGACCAGGTAACGTCATAAACAGAACAATCACTTCCTCAATTGAAGATTTGCTACATGCACTGTTTATTTTTGTGTATGTGTATAATCAAAACCACTATCCAGACAGCAGATAAGCAAATGTCCTATGAATAAGTCTATAAGCTCGATCACCAACAAATGTGCCATCAAAGTGTATAGTGGTAGGTGTAGTAACACCAGAAATGGTGGAGTTAGCTTACAAAGTTCACCCTAGACGAAAACCTGTGGAAATCGTAGACAGCGAAGGTAAAACTTGAAAATGGAGACTAGTTAGGACCGAATGTGTTAATTACACATCAAGTATAATACCAAATGTGACCTGACAGAACAGTTTGACCAAGTAACACTTTTTGCGCTGAGCTTTATTTTCTTGTGCTTTGTTTTTATTTCTTTTGTTTGATGTTGTTCTGAACTCATATATTTACCGAGCATCCATGTGTATATACAGTTTTCAATACATTGTGTAATTTCATTTTTTAGATAATTTTTCACAACATTTATAATTTTGAGATTAGATTCATTCTTACTATAGACTTACCTACGTCTACATGTGACGAAAACAATTATTAAGATGATAAGTATCAGAAGAAATGCGCCTCCTCCACCAGCACCTGCATATAATGCTGGAAAGTATAATATAAATGGAAAATGCAAATGCAGCAAATAATTGAACCGAAAGATGACGGAAAAAATACATGATAGAACTATTATGGAGTGAAAGTGAGTCAGGTGCTCAAATTATCTTTATAAGTTCTAAGGGGGAAAAAAAGAAAGCAAACATTTATAAAAGAGCCCTATCGAATTTCGAAATGCCGTTCTAAAGGTTTTAGAGATGGATTGTAATATAATTTGTCTTCCCCACAATGATCCTCCCAAAATTAAAAAAAATTCTTACAGAGTACATACCAATTTTGCTTTTGTCGCCTGAAACTGGCTGAAGACTCGACATCAAAGTAGACTGTACGCCAACAAGGGTTGTGGGATCTTTTTGAAATATAATCAGGTGCATATAAATGGCATTATCGTAATTTTATGATAGCCGGAATGACCAAGTAGAAGTGTGATAAAAGACTTCTATGGAAGATTTCAAAATAAAAATTAATGATTTGACCTTCATTTTTCAGATTCCCTGTGGGGATGAGAACCAAACTAGATACAACTTTATAAAGTAGGTGTGCTATATGTATGTAACTCTAAGGAGAGGGAGAGAGGAAGAGATAGTGAGCGATAGCGTGGAGAGATAGGAAGAGAGATACAGGAGAGAGAGAGAGAGAGAGAGAGAGAAAAAAAAAGATATATATATATAAAGGGAGAGAGAGAGAGAGAGAGAGATGGAGAGAGACAGAGAGAGGAGGTTGGGGCAGAAAGTGAGAGGGGTGAGAGTGAAAGAGAGAGAGAGGTGTGGAGATAGCAGGGAGTGAGAGGAAGAGAGAGGAAGAGGGGGAAGGGTGGAGTGACGGTGAGAAATATATGGCATGCTTGCATTGATGTTTCATATAATTTCTCTATTTTCAGTGACTATTATATATTTCGTGTATTTTTGTCTTGTTTTCATAACAGTAGGTGTAAAAGAACAAGTCGATTAATTATTGGTGTAAAATCAAGTCATTAATTAATAAAATTAATTGTCTATTATAATAATAGAAAATAATTAGTAACAGCTTTTCCCCACTATCTGTGATTTTACATATCAACAGCACCCTGCACTATCTTATCAGCATGTAAAGACAGTGCATTGACCAAAGTCAGTAATTTACAATCGCAATACTTGAATAGGAGCTTTTCGTTGTAAATCTTTCACTAATTTTGGTATAAGTATTGTCACGTCTATATCTAGCGAAAATCTATCCATACCACCTAGCATCTAGTTACCTGATTTTGTAGAACGTGTTGATATTGGATTTGTGCTTTCATTAATTTCTTCTGTTGTTTTGTAAAATGCTGTCGATGCTTCGTGTGAAGTTGGTATCCCTGAACTTGACGATGTTTCAGTAGTTGTTGGAGGTCTTATCGATGAAACTGCAAAATGTTAGACATGTAATAGATGTGGCGGTAAAATCAATTTCTTGGTTATGATATAGAGAATAACAAATATAAGACTAGATATAAAAGAAAACAGAACCGAGGTCTTTAAATAGCAATGTATTTTCTATATATCTCATTGAAGACCAGCATGTACAAAATCAAAGCTTGGTACCATTGTTAAGGTTTGCAACGAACACGTTTTCTGCGTCTACAAAATAACAAAATCTGTAATTAAACAGATTCGATACTTGTGCACTATAGACAAAAATGATCGTTTTCTTTTACATTGTACCATTGCCCCTGCTACCCTCCCTCCGTCCCTCTCCCCACCCCGTGTAACACCCTAGCGACCTTAATGGTTGGCCCAACCCTACCACGGTTATGAGGAGCATAAACACGCCACGAACAAAGTGTTGTCACGATTGATTACAAGAATTCATATCCCCCCCCCCCCCCCCCCCAAAAAAAAAAAAAAAAAAAAATCTTATCATCAATTTCATTCCAAAAAGGTGATTAGTACAGGGAATGTCCACATACGAATCGTGCAATATCTAAAAAAAAACTTATGGTTAGTACCAAAATATAATTTTCCTCTTTTTTGTATAGAATGACCTACCGTCAACGTTACCCATACTGAAATGATATTTGATTGAATTGCATTGTTTGCATATAGGCATAACATGAGACATGTATGTCCCTTGAGGACAGAATATTCCCCATCAGCGAAAAACACTACTTGTGGCGATAGTGGAACGTCACTATTGGTTCTGATGGTTCTTGAACTTACCGTTATAAATAGAGATTTTGTTAATGCCCCCACAAATATTAGTGTTATCCCCCGCACATGGGAAATCACAGTCACCGTCTTCTGGCACTCCAAGTCGATCGTAGTTCGTACCAGCAACCCCACAGTAGCATTCATTCGCATGCTCTACTCCAGCGTAAGCAGAGTCAGTGTCAGTCAACGTTGTGCAGTAGTCAATGCATACCGTGATTGTCATATCATCAGATATTAATTGGGCATCTGGTAGGACCCGCTTAATTGTAGCATCTGTGAAGCATCCGACATAGAGGTCATCTAAACGATTATCAAAGAAGAGAATAAAATCACATTTCTTTAGTCATTATACTTATATGGTTTATAAGTAATGCTGTATGTTCTTTTGTATTCTATATTTCAAATCGTGTTGTTCAGTAATTAGGCAAAAAAAATGCATGACAACTTGAGGTGATTTAATGATAAGAATCCCGTTTCGCCAATTACTCATTTTAGCATATGTGTAAATAGAATTGGCATTTTGGCTGAGGTAAACATTAACAAAACCTGTGAAATATGCGAAAAACACATGTCCGGATTAAAAATATATGAAAATAAGTATCAAACACTTAGCAGCATCTAAGCATCAAAGAGAGCAAAGCTATAGCAATACACAGTCATTCGAGGAATAGTGCCAGATTATAATGCAAAGCCTCAGAGTCGAAAAATGTCATGAAACATAAAAATAGAGATGTATTCAAGCTCACTCACCATATGTTTCCACTGCCGATGATGCTTGAGCCCAAATGAAGATGGCTTGGAGCATGTAGTAACAGACCAGTCTCAAATACATTGTTTTAAATATTCTATGACATAATTCAAAGAAGCAAATGAAGCATTAGACTTTCCTTCTCCTTTAATGTATCACTGCTTCAGATCTGGATGTGTTGGAAGAAGTTTCTCATTTGTCCGCAGGTGAACGGCAATATTTATGGTCGCAGATATCATAAATTTGTTTGTTCTCTTGGAATGTGAGATGTCCTTTCCCCGAAGATAAACGATCCTTTAACTGTTGAACTCAAACTTGTATCAGATAACGAAATATTTGCCCTGCTGCCCTGCGATATTCAATACATATTTATCAATTATAATTTTGTTTCTATTCAAAACGCTGTCTACCTTGAAAGAACTGTTCGCACCTCAATCGAATGAGTTTATGTCCACTGTGTGCATTTGCGGGTAATTATACAATTGATCTTCCTCAAAGCACGCTTTCCTTTCTCAAGCATAACGTGAATGACTTACCGAGTGTATTTACTCTGTCTGCTTCTTTTGTGTCCTCTAAGAGCCCATTTCATAATGCATAGAATAATCGTATGAAAAGAAAATTTGTATACCATTCGATGTTATTATAGGCTAGCATATCACACTTTTTTCGGGCTGTTGGGTTTATAAAAGGTATTGAGTCCAACCAGGGTATGTTTCTGGTCCCACCTCCTCGATCACACACATTAGCCGTGCATGTGTTTAGGAAATTGAGTCAACTAAAAAATGTATGTCAAATCGATTCTGATATCTTCCTGGACTGCACTAACAAAGACGCACTTAGAATCAAAGTTTTGTTAGGTGTAAAAGAATGCCTCACATTATTTTAAAATATCCTTTAAGACGATATCGTAAATGTGACATTATTCAGTAGATTAAAGGTACTATGTCCCATTTGCAGGCCAAAAAATGAAAGGTTAAACTTCCAACTGCATTTGAAAGATAATACTAATTTAGAACTTCCCTAAAAAGGTGGGGCTTGACAATGTCTTCAAGTGGGAAAATAACGACTATTAATTGTCAAATTGACTTTAGGGCTATAGAGCCCAAAAGTAATAATCTTGATTTTCAGACAATTGTACCGAATGGTCATACGTTTTATGCTGCGCAAAGATTCAATCAGTTTAATCTTGGCCATCACAAGAAATGGGTTATTGATGTAGACGAATGCTCATGTACCCTTTACAACTCTTTTCATGTATGTTATTACCAAAGAAGAAAAAAAGCCAGTCAGTCACTCAATAGTGTCTGACAGAAAAGTCTAGCAAGTAAACGGGTTTCCTTGCATAATTTGAATAGGAGGACACTGCTAACGTTTAAATTTCACAGATAGGACATACATGACATATTCATGATTCCTGCAAAGTTCTACGGCATTTGAGGTTGGCTGCAAAAGGGACATAGTACCTTTAAGGGAGATGGTACCTTGAAACATGAGAAAAGAAGGAGGTGCCAACTAAAAATACAGGGAAATTACATTTCACATATTGGTTTGAAAGTAGGCCATCGGCCGTGTGGATAAATCTCGGTACTAAGATCGTCAGTTCGGTTGTGCCAGTTTTTAATTTATTTGCCATTTGTTCCATTTATTTGGCATGATGGAATTATTTTCATCATGAAACCGACCAACAATAATCTATGTCACACCACACACCTTCCCCTCTTCTAACCATGTGAAATCTAAAGAATAAAACTATATTCCATCATTAATGCATAGCTAATTCAACAGTATACAGTATCACAATGACGAATAGGAATTCCCATATTATACCCGATCTTTCTGGCACTATTTACTCAGTGTGGATCTTTGATTCTTGCTTTTGAACGTCAGCCTCTACAATGTATTGTTGTAGTACAGTCATTGCTATACATATAGTACAATCATATGATGTGTTTGGCCTTTGTTGTGTTTAACCCGACCGAACAGCGTTATGATAATGTTAGGCCTGTATCCAATGTGCATCATAGAAAATCACAAATGAGTCCATATCAGATAGATAATACTGTAAATAAACGCAGGAAAAAATACCAGCATCAATTTATTAAATGCTTAATGTTTGCATCATAAAAATGACATTATCTACAAATGTTATCATTCACCTTGTATACCAGTGTACAATTTGAAAATTTTAAAGAAGATGTGTTTACCATAAATAAGATACAGCATACATTTGCTACATTCTAACTGTATAGGAATCCAGTTAATAGACTCTAAGAAAACAGTATATTCCAGTGGCGGATCCAGGGGGCCCAGCCCCCCCCCCCCCTGGCGCTGAAGGGGGGGGGGTGCAAATTTCAAATTTCCGAGGACCAAAAAAAAAGGGGGTTAATACCGTCCACCTAGACAATCGATAGACCTCTTTCTAAGCGAATTCAACCCTATTTCGAACAAAATCAATGCAAGTTCACATAACTGCTTCATCATGAGTGATTTTATTTTGGATGTAATGAAACTAGGTTTACGAAAAGGTTGTTCTTTAAAAACATGAAATTTCACGTTAACAGTCATCCGCGAATGGTGCAGCATTTTATCGCGCGTGTTGTGTATAATCTAAGTGTTTTAACCTTCTTTCTAGATATACTTCTTTCTTCAGTCTTCAAAAGGGCTGTCCTGAAAAGCATGATTCAACTTGTATTTACATCTCACACCATTCTATCATGTATATAGTCTCATTTTCAGTAATAAATATATGTTTCATTTTTTATACGTATATACACATCCCTATTGCCCTTGCACAGACTATAAGGAAACACTACATTTAGATTTTGTTCGTTAACAAATTTAAGGAAACAAATGCCAATTTTCGCCCTTACTCGGGATGCACTATAAGTTTTGTTAAAACATGCAACATCCTTACAATAATAAAATATGATTCTACCTCACTGTACAATAGAAGATATCATAATAGTACATATACACATATTCCATTTAGTTGAAGGCTATGATGTGAATACAGAATAGTTGTATTTGCTTTTGTAGATTTATCCTGTACGAAAGGGTAGTCCTTTTAAAAACATTATATGTGCTATCTCATATTGACATTGGTATCCTTGATACTATTTCATCCGTGCATGATGCAGGTTTTAATCAGGTAAAAGGTCTATTTTTCAATACAACTGATATATTTCAGTATACATAATATTCGCAAATCCCCTTCGCCCTTCCACCTATTATCATTTTAGGATTATTTTTCTTAGCTAAATTTACAAAGCCAGTATATTTATCCCCGGTAGACAGGATGCGATGTATGTGTTTATATTAGGGCATGCAATCATCCTTACTATGATAAAATACAATTCAATCTCCCTCTGTTATACAGGTCATAGGCATTATAACCGTGTAATACAAGTTCATTCATTCGTACAGACACCTTTTTTTATAGCACAGATTAATACAAAAATATACATGTGATACTTATATAAATAATTATGTTTACTAACCAAAGTTTGAATCGCCTCTAAGCCCCTCGCTAACGTTTTCTTTGTTGTCTATAATATATGTATTGTTATTTGTTTTCTAGATATATATCTAGGAAAGCGTTGTCAACAAAAATCTTTTTTAATTAAGGGCAGGCTTATACATTTCAAATGTCCTTCGCCAAAATATATATTTGCTGAATATTTCAACTTAGCTGTTTTCTTATCAAAGACATTTGCAACAACAACCAAAAAAAGACAATGTTTTATTAGGGTTTTTTTTAAAACTCATATTCATCTATCTTTATTAACCAAAAAGCAACATAGAGTGTGTTCGCATTTAAATGAATGTGGGGAGATCGGACAAACCTTTTTTTTAATTCAACAAAAGTAGAACAAAAACAGCAAAACCATTACGCCTCTCTATTTCCCTATGATATTCTATGTAGAGCTGTAGATATCATTTTCTATCATTACAGTGTTATCAACATCATTGCCCCGTCGTGATTTATCTGGCATGGCGTACATGGCTTCTACATCATCACGCTTTCCGGCGCCATTTTGGGTCACGTGGTCACGTGGGTTTTTGTCTGGTAGCGCGTACAAGCCCTCCCCATTTGTCGATGCCTCCATACCGATCGGCTCCAAGCGGTTTTTCGTGGAAGTGGCGTACAGCGCGTGGAGGCTATCCTCCCCCAGCGCTGCTTTCCCGTTGCTCGAGTACACCGTCTTAGTTCTTCTGTCTGGCATAGCGTACATCAATGACGGATCATCTGTGTCATTTGGTGGCGAGGTGTACGTCTTAGGTCGAGATGAGTTTTTAGCTGACATGTCAGGCATGGCATAGAGGGCTGCAGGGTCGTGTGTTGCTTCTTTCATGGTAGATCTCTTCTCCGAGTTCATGTATTTTAGTTCGTTATTGTCCACGGTCATGTTCTCATAATCGCGTTCCGTCTCTGCACTCTTGTTCTCATAACAAGGATCCTCTTCCTCGTCGGTAGGTCTACTCCGTTCTTCATTGTCGTTCTTAGTAGGAAATATCGTTGTTAATGGATGGTCAGTAGCAGCTGATCGCTTCTTTGTATTTCTATTAGAAGAGGATCGAAAATGGGGTAAGATACATGTCATAAATACATAAAGGTGGATCCAAGGGTACATGGAACAGGCTTCCTCCCCTCCCCGCAATAAACAACGAAAACATATAAAATGTCTATTGTTTTTGTATAAGTGGTTTTTATTTTAAAATATGAGGCACGTTGTAAGAACCATTGATTCAGTTTACTTTGTCAACATTAAGTCCCGCCCCTATAGGAAGTGTTTTGTAGTCCGGTGTTCATGTGACCAGGTAACGTCATATTAAAAAAAGCAGAACGATCTCTTCCACAATTCAAGATTTTCTACATGTACTTTGTATTTGTGTTTAAGTTTATAATAATCGAAACCATTATCCAGACATCAGATAAACAAATGTTCTATGAATTAGTTTATAAGCTCGATTGCCAACGAATATGCCATCAAAGGGTATAATGGTAGGTGTAGTATCACTAGAAATGGCGGAGTTAGCTTACAGACTATCCCCCAAAACGAAATTATGTGGAAATTGTGGACAGCGAAGGTAAAACTGGAGAACGAAGACAATTTGACCAAACAACACTTTTTACGCTGGTCTTTATTTTGTTGTGCTTTGTTTTTATTTCTTTTGTTTGATATTGTTCTGAACTCATATATTTACCAAGCATCCATGTGCATATACAGTTTTCAATACATTGTGTAATTTCATTTTTTTAGATAAATCTTTCACAACATTTATAATTTTGAGATTAGATTCATTCTTACTATAGGCTTACCTGCGTCTACATGTGACGAAAACAATTATTATGATGATAAGTATCAGAAGAAATGCGCCTCCTCCACAAGCACCTGCATATAATCCTGTAAAATAGAATACAAGTGGAAATGAAAATGCAAATGCAGCAAATAATTGAACCAAAAGATGACGGGGAAAAATACATGAAAGAAGTACTTGAAGTGTACAGTCAGGTGCTCAATATGTCTATTTAATTTCCGAGGACAAAAAAATCCAGAGGCAAGCATTCATAAAAGAGCCCTATCAATTTTCGAAATGCCAGTCTAAAAGTTATAGAGATGAGTTATTGACGGGGCTACCCTATTTAAATAAAACGGAATGGTTGTTTATTTATCTAACTTGCCTTCCCTACAATGATCCCGTCCCCCCCCCCCCACCCACTCAGTGTTATTTAGGGTACGCATAGCGCATATGCGTGTTCTAAGCGACCCCCCCCCCCCTTTTTTTTTAGCAAAAGTCCGGTGTGTAAAGTCAATACGAGTCGACCTATTTCTTTTGTTATACGAGCCTTTTTCAGCACCCCTACCCCCCCCCCTTTTTTTCAGCAAAAGTCCGGTGTGTAAAGTCAATACTGGTCGACCTTTTTCTTTTGTTACGAAAAGGACATTTTGGTAACACGCATGGGGTCCGTCCGTTCTCGGAGTGGGGGGGGGGCCGGGACAATGATCCTCCCAAAATTAAAAACAAATTCTTTACAAACACCAAGTACAGCGTACATACCAATGCCGCTTTTGTCGCCTGTTGTAACGGGTTGAAGACTCGAAGTCATCAAAGTAGACTGTACGCCAGCAAAGGTTGAGGGATCTGTTCGAATTATAATCAGGGGCATAGAGATGGCATTATCATAATTGTATGATAGCCGGATTGACCAATTTGAAATGTGATACACGAATTTCATGGAAAAGTTTAGAATAAAAATTAATGATTCGACCTTCATTTCTTAGATTCCCTTTGAGAATGAGACTATAAACCTGATAAACTTTATAAAGCAGGAGTGTTGTATGTATGTAAATGTAAGGAGAGACAGATATACAGGTAGTGAGCGATAGCGGGGACAGATAGGAAGAGATACAGAGGAGAGAGAGAGAGAGAGAGAGAGAGAGAGGGAGTGATAGAGATAGAGAGAGAGGGGTGAAGGTAGCAGGGAGTGAGAGAAGAGAGAGGGGAGGGGAAGGGTGGAGTAATTGTGAGAGATCTTTGGCATGCTTACATTAATTTGTCAAGTAGTAATTCCATTTTCAGTGACTATTATATTACATGTATTTCTGTCTTGTATTCATAACAGTAGGTTGAAAAAGACCAAGTCGATGAATTGGTATAAAATCCAGTCATTATTTAATAAAATTAATTTTCTATTATTAGGTAAAACCTTTTTTCCAACTATCTGTGATGTTACATATTATTGGCACCCTGCAAGATTTCACTATTAATATCATATCAGCATGTCAAGAAAGTGCGTTTACCAAAGTCAGTAATAAACAAAAGCAATACTCGAAATAAAACTTTTTCATTGTAAATCTTTCAAAAATTTGGGTATATGTTTTGTAGGGTCTATAGCCAGCGAAAGTCAGCAAAAACTTGTACCTACCTAATTTTGTAGAACGTGTTGATGTTGGGATTGTGCTCTCATCGCTTTCTTCTGTTCGTTTGTCAAATGCTGTCGATGAGTCGGAGGAAGTTGGTATCACTGAACTAGACGATGTTTCAGTAGTTGATTGAGGCCTAATCAGTAATACTGCAAAATGTTAGACGTGTTAGATGTGGTGGATTTTTTGTTCTATAAGTTCTTGGTTATAATAAAGCTGGGCACAACTATAAAACTGGATATAAAAGAAAGTAGGACCAAAGATCTTTAAATATAAACATTTTTTCTTTATATCTCATAGGGAACTGGCATGTAAAAATATGAAGTTTGGTACCAGTGTATGTAAGATATATATTGTGATTTCTGCGTCTACACAAAAACCTAAATAGCTATAAAACACATTCAGTATTAACAAGCGTTATCGCCAAATTATTTTCTTAATTTGGTCACTATTGTTCACAAGGCAAAAGCGTGGATACATGGTACGCAGGGGGCACCACGTCCTCCCCCCTAATCGAATGTTTAAAAGTCTAAAATGATTCAAAGCTCTTACATTATCTTACCCTTGCCCCTGCCCATCTCCTACTCACCCCGAGTAATACCACCATAGCACCAGACGCGTACGCAGGATTTTTTCAAGGGGGGGGGGGGGGGGGGGGGGGGTTTTAACATTTATAAATCGGGCCGAAAATTTCGCAACGACTCAGCCAGCCGCTGAATAAGCGGGTGGGGGGGGGGGGGGGGGGGGGGGGGGGGGGGGGGGGGTAAGAGGACACATTTTTTTTTTTTTTGGTCTCGAAATTTGAAAATTTGACATTTTGCTCCGTTGGGGGGGGGGTAAGGTCAGCTTTTTTAGGTCAACCATGGGATTTTTTTTTTTTTTTTTTTTTAATTAAAAAAAAAAAAAAAAAAAAAAAAAAAACCAAAAGGGGGGGGGGGGGGTTTTAGAGAAATTTAGCGGGGGGTTTACACACAAAAAATTACCAAAGGGGGGGTTTAACCCCCAAACACCCCCCTGTGTACGCGCCTGCATAGCACCCTCAATGGCTGGATCCACCTTACTACGGGTACGAGGGGTATATACGTCGTGTCGATTGCTTACAATATTTTATTTATAATAAATAAATATAACGTAAATTTCCTCACACGAAAGTGATTTGTACAGAAAATGTCCAAGTTGGAATATATATTTTCAAACGTATGTAGGTTGGTACCGAATTTTCTTCAATGAGAATGATCTACCTTCAACATTGCCCATATATGATATTTGATACAACTGTATTGTTTTCATGGGCAAATCACGGACAATGAAATATGACCATTGAGGACGACATTTTCCCCGTTAGCGCAAAACTGCTACTTTGTGCGATAGTGGAAAGTCTCTATCAGTTCTGAAAATACTTCAACTTACGGTTATAAATAGAGATTTTGTCTGAGCCCCCACAAATAGTAGTTTTATTCCCCACACACGGGTGATCACAGTCACTGCGTTCTGCCACTCCAAGTCGACTGTAGTTTCTACTAGCAACCCCACAGTAGCATTCATTCGCAAACTCTACTCCAGCGTAAGCAGAGTCAGTGTCATTCAATCCTGTGCAGAAGTCAATGCATAGCTCGATTGTCATGTTACTAGATATTAATACGGCATCTGACAGGACGCGGTTATTCATCTTATCTTTGAAGCATCCGACATAGATTTTATCTAACGATTGTCAAATGAGAGAATAAAATCACGTTGCTTTAGTCATTATACGTATATGGTTTATAAGTAATACTGTATGTTCCTTGTTATTCTATATTTCAAACTTTTGTCGTTCAGTAATTAGGCTAAAATGCGTGACAAGTTGAAGTGATTTATGATAAGAATCGTGTTTCGCCAATTACTAATTTTCTATAGAAACAAATCAAACCAATGGACACTCTAAATACAAGTTACCCCAGAACATTGTGAAAAGACGAATTAGCATATTTTGGCTGAGGTAAACATAAAGAAATAACCTGTGAAATATGCGAAAAACACGTACATGTCCAGATCAAAAATATATGAAAACAAGTATCAAACACTAAGCAGCATCTGAGCATCAAACAGTGCAAAGCTAAAGCAATAACCAGTCATTCGAGGAATAGCGTCAGATGTATCGTGCAAGGCTGAGAGTCATAATATAAGTGTCATGAAACAAAAATAGAGATGTATGCAAAGCTCACTCACCGTATGTTTCCGATGCCGATGATGATTGAGCCGAAATGAAGATGACTAGGAGGATGTAGTGACAGACCAGTTTTAGATCCATTGTTTAAAATTTTCTATGAAATTATAATTCATAGAGGCACATGAAAGCTTTAGATTTTCCCTCTCCTTCAACGTATCACTGATTGTGTTGTGTTGGCAGACGTTTTCAATTTGTCCACAGGTGAATGACAATAATTATAATCTCAGATATCATACATATGTTTGTTCTCTTAGAATGTGAGAATGTGATGTCCTTTCCCCAAAGATAAACAAGCCTAAACTGTTGAACTCAAATCAATTGTATCAGATAACGAAATATTTGCCCTGCTGCCCTGTGAAATGCAATTCATGTTTATCAAGTTTAATCTCGTTTGTAATTGAAACGCTGTCTACCTTGAAAAGAACTGTTCGCATATCAATCGAATGCGTTTATAAAAACTGTGTGCATTTGCTTGTAATTATACAATTGAACTTCCTCAAAGCACGCTTTCTTTTCTCAAGCATAACGTAAATGACTAAACGAGTGTATTTACTCTGTCTGCTTCTTTTGTGCGCGCGAAGAGCCCATTTCATAATGAATAGAATAATCGTATGAAAAGAAATTTTGTATACAATCCGACTGTAATAATATTGTAGGTAAGAATATCATACCCTTGGGGATATGGATTTTAAAAAGTTATATTGTCCCACCAGGGCACGTTTCTGGCCCCAACTCCCCGATCACATTAGTCGTGATGTTTAGGAAATTGAGTCAATAAAACGATACATGTATGTCAATTAGATTCTGATATCTTCATCCTGTAAGACTTCCCTAACGAAAACGTACTTAGAATCAATTTTGTTTTTAAAGTGTAAAAGAATGCCTCGCATTATCACACAATATCTTGTAAGACGATATCGTACCTGTGACATTATCCGAAGTATGTAGGGAGATGAAATCTTCAAACATGTGAAAAGAAGGCGGTGCCAATTTTAAAATATAGGGAAAACACATTTCACATATTGGTTTGAAAGTAGCTATTTGTTGTGTTGTGTGTGTAGTAACATCATCATTGTAACTGTGCTACGGGTTTCATTTTCTAGACATAATGGACCTTATTTCATCATGACACCGACCAAAAATAAGCTATGACACACCCCACACCTTCCCCTCCTCTAACCATCCAAAAGCTAGAGCATAAAACTATAAACATTCATCATGAATGCATGGCTAAGAGACTATCATATCACAATGACGAACGGGAATTCCCCTAACCACGTACCCAATTTCCCCTGCTGTTTACTCAATGTGGATCTTTTATTCTCACTTTGAATGTCAGTCTTTAGAATCCATTGTTGCAGTACAGTCAGGAGATAAGGTTGAACGGAGTAAACGCTTTGGGAACGAGCTCAGACCTCCCAAAAGAGGTCAAGCGCAGTGCAAAAACAGAATAATTGAGCTCCTTTCACACTTTTATTTAGGGACTTTTAGATTGAGTGGACGAGAACACGACGAACGCCGACTGATCATGCGTGTCAACGTACTTAAAGGAAACCGAACCCCAAGTAATAACTTTACTTATTCTGAGAGATTTATTATGTTATTACCCATACATCTACAAGATTCCCCACCAAAGTGTATGAGAGAGGTATAAAGCAAAAATAAAGTACAGTTTCTCAGCACGACATGGGCATCGCCATTTTCTTGATAATGTGACGTACTATGCGAAGTCGTTTATCAAGTAATTGTATTCAAATTTATGGATGCTTTTTTCCCAGACGTGTGTGGTGATGAAGCACTTCATTCACCTGCTATTATCCTTTGTACTATAATTGCCAGAACGCAAATTGCATACATTAGTTAGTGCTCTTCTGGGTTGAAGGTTTCTCATACATGAAATAGATTTGTCAACTGCTATAGTGTAGTTTTTATAAATGAATTTGTTACAATTGTGACCCTGTTATTTATTTTTCACCTAACATAATTTCTATCATCTCAGTTGTTTTTTTTTTCATTGAAAAGTAAAGGTTTCGTTATTGATTTAAAAATTCTTTCCAACTAAAGCTTGGTGCATGATACATGTACAACTTCAACAGATACGTCACATTTTAAGAAAATGGCTGCGCCCATGTCATGCTGACAGGCATCACATCATGCCATATGAATATCTTCATTTATATATATCTTGTACATTTTCGTAAGGAATATTGTACATGACAGGGCAGGAATACATCTCATTTTTCAGAATACCTACACTTATTCTTTGGGTTTAGGTTTCCTTTAACTGCCCATGTTGACTACAATTAGAAATCTTTTAGATTGCACTCGACGATATACATGCATGCAGGAAGTAACACTATGAATATCACGGACAAAGAAAGAGGACAAAATATACAGTCCCTCATTCTACCCTCAAGAAAAGAACATCCCTTCACTGCTATTACGTAAAAATGTGTAGAACAGGTGAATATGCATGTGACACCTGTTCTACACATTTTTACATATTATAGTAGGGAAGGGATGTTCCTTTGTCTACCTGGGGAACTGTATATTTTATGCGCACGCGGCATACTAGTACCTTGAGCATGTAAAGGCACTATATAAATATCAATATGTATGTATGTACTAGATTTAGGAAAATCAAGGTTGACGCATTCTCGATCGCCGATTGAGACGACGTAACGCATGCGCAGTGCCTTAAAATGACGTCACACGTTGCAGTCAAAGATGTTGACGTGCAAATCTAAAAGTCCCTTTTGTGGTGCCGAGGTGTACACTGATCTGTACATGCTCTGATTCGCAGTTTTCTGAATGACTGGATTCAAAGTTTTCTAAGTTTATTTCACAGGATTCATAGGAGGCTGTATCCCGGATAATTTTGAAGCTACAAATATCTTAAGAATTGTCGTTGAATGTAATGTATTAGGGCAGCAAGGTTGTCGCTCTATTGAATATTACTTATCTAGATATACTTATCTTTTCATATATGCATTTGGACGAACTTCCGTGAAAAGGGCAAAAAGTGGATACATGATAGACCACTATTCATTATTATTCCCAACAACTGACCACTTGTTCACAATAGCATTCCATTTTTAAGACAATGGAAAATCATTTCTTGATATCAAGAATTGAATTATGGATATCAAGAAATGAAATGTTAAAACGGCTTGCCATGGACAATCATGATCAGTGGACGTTCACGCCGTTCTCGTCCACTCAATCTAAAAGTCACTATTCACTGTACCAGTTAGTGAACAGATGTCTGTTTTCATAAACTCCATCCTTTTTCTTTGATATCCTCTTTCGACTCCTTTTTACAAACGCGATTGATTGGAAGGTGCTAAAGTGCTTTATTTCCCCTCTCGAGCAAAGTCTTTACCATTGTTAAAACTAAATTCATGTGAGTTCCGCATATCAATGGTAAGAGAGCACATATCATTACCCAGATTGTCATACCTGTATTATGACGATCTACTGTATTGCTACGATGAAACACCAGTGATTACTATGTATGCATTTACTGGCATTACAACTCGTGAACTTCCTCAAAGAAGTGTATTTCACTGTATGCGATACATATTACATGTACATCTGTTTACTTTAGTCTGTCTGTGTTTGATGTGCTCGTCATGCAGCTCGCACAAAAAAACACATGAACCGCGGAAAGAATGCCTACTTGGATAAAGCGGATGTCATTTATATTTACACAACTCGTATTTCTTTGTTTAAAAAGTAGAGAATTATCCACTTGTATAAGATTTGTAAAATGAAGTTTATTGACGGGCTCTTGATTAGTGTGCTCATGTTGATACAGTTTAAAGATAAACTTGAGTTCTGGTAAAAAAAGAAAATAAATTCTCACAGAATCTATCGAAACTTACACTGAATGTTCGAGATTACAAATAAATGTCATGTGCCAAACAATTTTGGAATAAAATGTATACTGGCTGAGTAATGAGCATAGAAAGATAAGGAAATCAGGGTAGTACTAGCCCCGACACCATGTGTGTTGTCCCATATACATATTTCTGTGTAAGTGATTGTTACTTTACCAAGACTCTGCCATATTTATGATTATTTTCATGACTCCAGAACCTTGCATTACACACCATTACTTACATGCTATATGATCAACTTTTCTGATCCATTCCACACCTTTTCTTTCACCATGCAATCGCATTACCAGAACTCAAGTTTATCTTTAACAGGTAACCAGGGGAATGCTAGGGAATGCGTTTGGAGAAGAAAAAAAGAACTCTTGCATTTCATAGATCAACATTGGGCGTTCTTCAGGCTACAAGATATTGTGAATGACTACGATGTGCATGGTCTAATCGGATGAAGCCAATATGCCATTTTCGTAATGTAATCAAATTTAATGCATCAGTCTTTGTGAAGTGCCTCAATACATAATTTCATTCACCTGAAAAGAATAATAGTATTTCAATAGATAGAATCCGAGCTGCATACATTAGTGTTGTTGCCAGGTTGGACAAACATTATGGCTTGACCTACCCAGCAACACTTAATATATGTAGTTTGCATTCTGACTATTGAAATACTATTATTCTTATCAGATGAATGAAATAACTTGTATTAAGGCACTTCACAAATATTGATGCATTACATTTGGTTGCATTACGAAAATGGCCTATTCGGTAACTACTTTGGATATAGGCTCTTAGCTTTTTGCTAGTCTGCAAGCACAGACCCTAATTTGACACTTTATCAAAAAATCCTTGTGCCTTGAGAGAAGCCTAGCCCAGCTACCTACTGATTGTGTCAGGAGCAGCTATAGTTCATGGCCTATGGTAGTCTTAGGCTGCGTTCATGCTTAAATTTTGAAGGCAGAATGAGCGATCTGAAACGCTCATCGTAAACGCTCATCGTGATCGCAGTTCCACGATGTAGTGTTCATGCTTACTTCTCTGGCTCCCCCAGGCAATTCTCAGTGTGTGGCCTTAATTGGTCTTCCAGCTGGATTCGCAAACCTTCACTGTGCATGCTACGTAGACCCACTAGAGGTCAGTGCGTTGACCCCATTTAAACGCGTTTACAAATTGTAAACGCATCTTTTT